ATGTCTGTTTTTGTTTATATGGTTGCGAGTTCTTATCATGGAGTGATGATATCGATTCTGAGTCTTCTCACGATGTTAGTCGATATGTTGGATTTGCAGTTACGATAAGTAATAAGGGTGTTATACCGTGTTTTCTGTGCAAACGGCGTTAGCATTTTTTCGCTCGTGGCTAATTAAGAGGCTCAGCGTTATTTTGCAAAAATAAATAAAAATGATCAGTTAGCTGAGTTTCTTCCCGTTACATGGATATGAAACATTCATAGTTTATTAAATATTAAGAAGCCCTCAGACGCTGTTTCCTGCAGGTGATGCGTTTCCCCCCCCATTAATCTGGTGCAAGGTTTTCTGTGCGTCAGAGTTTGTGATAATTAAATTAAACCAAATTTGATTGGAAATATGCACTAGGGGGCTGCCCTCGTCGTCAACCATGAACCGCAACATCCCTGGTTCCTCGTCCGGCCTCTACTCTATCTCCCCCTCTCTCTCCCCCTCTCTCCTCTCATTTTCTGTAATTATTCAACTGGAACTAATACTGCAAGGCCATACAGTGCTAAAAAAAAAACTAATAATTGAAAATAAGACATGTGAGGCCAATAACTGCTTATTGGTTCAACAGTTAACAACAATTACATTTTCATAAGGAGCCCCTGTACAACACAAAGCTATACCATGTGCTAATATTTCCCTTATAGATATAGTACTTTAGTGGGTCAGATTCTATACCAAAATAATTGAAAAAGAAGAATGAACAGGCAGTGAACCTAGGGGGCTTTCTTGGTTCCCAATGCCTCGGGGCAGTTGCTTGCTTTGCCTGGTTGGTAATCTGACCTCTTTCATTCTACGCACATAAACCAAAGGGCGCTGTTTAATCATCAACGTTTCAGAGAATAGGTTAAAAATGGAACAAAAATATATCACAATGAAAATAGGATAAACACTAATAGATACCACCATGAGACTTTCCCAGTTAATTACTTACAGTAAGAGCAAACATTTGTGTTTTTAATTTATAAAAAAATATACAGACAAATAGACAAACTGTAGCAGTTGTAACTTGACTAGTGCTGTCACTTAAAGTCCAGTCACAGTGTCGCAGTTCTCAAAACATGGAAAGCACATAATCTGCGTGCAGGGGCATCAGGAGGGATTAGTAAATCATCAGATTTACAGATTGGAAGTCTATAACAGTTCTGATACTTAATCTATCCCGTTGTGACGTTTTTAATGCTAAAAAACAGATACATGTTATCTCAGTTTGTACAGAGGAGATGAAATATTTGCTACAAACATACAGGAAGTATAGAAGACACTACGAGAAAGGATATGTACTGCACTTCAAGAGTTTCAGGTAGTTAGTGCTTGATAGAAGTGATAGAAATAAATGTGAGAAAGATTTAAAATGTTGTTTATCATCCCATAGTGTCTGTAGGTAAAGGGACATTTTGTTTAGTTCAATAAAATACAATCTCAAGTGGTTTTGTTTGACTACACATGATGTAACGTTTCAAACGCCATGTTCTCTATCACACAAACATGTATTATTGCATTGTTTCCTATAATTGTTCTATCAAAAAAATATTAAATATAGTACCATCTCATACACTTATCTATTCTCAAGTGGATAGCTGCAATAAAAGAGAAACATGTGCAGCAGAGCACAATCAAGAGCGATGTAAATTAAAGGAACAACTCACAAGGGAAACAGAACAGTTCAAAATATTTATTTGAAGTACAAATATGTTGCTTCCAAGGGAGGTCAAGGGACAATTACTCTCATTCCATCTTGTTAAATGAGTTGCCATAACAAGAGGCACAGAGCCAGTGAGCGGATAGAGAAGCTGTCTGCTGCTGGAGCCGAGTTTCTCCCTGTGGAAGCAGAAACACAGCATTCATTATCACCTTATTTACACCTCGTAAAAACCTGTGAGTGTAAACAAGTAATATAAAAGATATACACTCACAAACATTTCATCAAGGAAACAAGACAACCTCATTATGAAGGAGGTTATTAAAAATACATTTTATCCTCCTAGTGTTTTTTTTAAAGACACACCTCTCAGCTCCAGCAGTACGTCTCCTTCATATCTTGCGAGGCCGACAGCGTGCCTCTGCTCGGTGTCCAGCTCTGCCCACTGCTCCTCGGAGACGGCCCACGCCTGCTCGGCACTCAGCCACGACATCTGAACAGCACTGAACACCACCTGTCAAACACACACACACACACACACACACACACACACACACACACACACACACAAGATACTGTCATTCTAGAGGAGTCACTTATGAACCTATTAGGGGTGTTGGGATATACTGGTATTAACAATAACTTTGATATTACATTTTTTTATTATTTATATCATGTCAAAATACACTCTTGATAATATTGTGTAAAAGATCCAGCACCTCTTAAAAGAATCTTTTTCTGTTCTGACTTTGTCTTCCTCCCAAACATCCAATATACAAATTAGTATAATTAGTTTGCCAAAAAAAGAGAGAAGATACATCAAACAAAGACAAAGGTTAATTTATAGATATGGAAATAACACTTTTACTTTTGAAACTTTAAGTGCACTTTGCTGGTAATACTTCAAATGTATACTTGGGTAAGGTTTTTATTTGTGTTGGAGTATTTTCTCAGTGATACAGTAGATTCATACTTTTAGTTATTTCAAGAATGTAAGTACTTTTTTCCCTACAACAGCAAAATAAAATCAAACTATCATTTATTTATTTTAAATACCACTATTTTTCCTAATGTAACAAGTCAAAAAAGTTATTGATTCATTTCTTTGACACTTTTATAAGGCTTTGATTGTTGTTGAAGTAAAATGTCATATCTTAAAAGTAAGAGAGATTTGCCATTAGTGCAATTATATAACATGTCATTAATATACCTTTATAATGAAGCTATAGAGTGTCTTGTAGTTTAGCTTGAATGAATTAGCCATAGAATCGTGGTTCACACTCACTGCCATTTTTCTCGGGGACATCAGGGCGATGGCTCCAGGTGAGATTCCCTCCACCTGTTCTTGTACCAGAGCTGACAGCACCATGTCCTCCAGGCCCACTGGACAGAGACACAAACAATGTTTAGTCAGAAAATAATCTTCTTCTTGTAAAATCACAGGTAGTATAAACATTTGTCGAAACTTGTATACGCTCAGGGATATTTTTAATTGCAACTTTCCATCCAGGAGCTGTCGTTTCCTGCTTGCACCCTCCTCACTTAAATCAATTTAAGAAAAGGTTTATCACAAAAACGTTCATACCCCGAAGGATATTATGTTTCATTGTACCTGCTATTGTCCCAATTTCCGTGAAAACTTCTGGTCCCCAAGCACTGAGTGGACCAAAGGCCTCAGGTCTGGACAAACGGCTTGTCAACGCCTCCATCTGCTGCTCCGTGCACGGCAGGGACGTCTCCCGCAGGAACAGGACAGCCAGACTGCAGTGTGAGAAAACGATTTAGCACTTTATCCTCCTCTGGGTATGCAGAATGTTTTATGAGTGTTGTGCTTCTAAGAAATGCACACAAGCCTCCTGTTATTTAGCAACTGTAGGCAGGTGGATGTAAAATCAATGTATGTCTCTCTGAAACCTAAAGCAAGTCATTCTGTTATGGCATTTAAAGGATTTATACTTTTTTTATCAATGCTGCTCAGTAGTGTTGTGTAGGCGCAGTATTCGTCAACATCTTTGGACTGTATGTGGTGGACTAACTCAGATCACTTATTAAGGATAACATAGACATACTTAGTGTTTAAAACTCTGTTAAAGTCCTGCATTCAAGTAGAAAAGTGTAAGCATTCAAATGTAATCAAAGTATAATAAGTAAATGTACTCATTCCACAGAATCATATTATAGAAAATAGCCTCAAATGGAAATAATAATAAATAAATACCTGTGCAGTACTTTAGTAAATGTATTTTTTAAGATTTTAGCACTGGGTATATGTTCATCGTTGTTTTGATGCCATTTACCTGTATTGTATATATGTCACAATTATTTTTGACTACATATTGCTGAGTGTGATCCTTCTTTTATAGCGTGTTATTTGGTCTTGTTTGGTCTTGTAAATTGTTCCCCATGCAGATGGCACCTTGTATGGCGGCCTCTGCCTCTGTGTGAACCGGGGGAATGCTGACTTGTATTTGTAAAAGCACTTTGAGTGGTTGTAAAGAATGAAAAAGCGCTATATAAATTCAGTCCATTTACCACTAACCATTTATACTTTAGGTATGTGACCGACCTGAGGTTGTAGGCGCTCAGTCTTCTGATCTCTGAGGGATACAGGCCACACATCAGATGGCCAAACGTTGCCAGATCAAGAGCTGTTAACTGCTCCACTTTCAGTTTTCGTTTCCGCATCACACCTAAAATCAACGCTCTCATCTTTAAACAAAAACACAGATAGAAACATTAAACACATACTAATAATACCAAAGTGTTTATGAGGAGATAATTCCCGTTACTTCCAGTTGTACATCAGAATGTTAAATACTATACCTTCTTTGGGCTCCAGTGTGTCAGTGTCCCCAGATGTGCCAACACTCCCTGGTCTGTGAGGTTGGTGTCGTGCAGCTCTCTGTCTCCCATCTCAGTCACCAGCGGGCCCAGAGCTAGCACCTGATCCCCCCCTAGCTCTCTCACCGGACCGAAGGACTGCAGTGAGTGAAGAACCAGAACATGTTTCAACCACAGATTATGTTGATGTTAAAACGTTTCACTCTGCTGTAATCTCTCTCATGGTTGGCAACTACTAGCCAGGAAGGGACTGAAGAAAGCAGAATCTCACCAACACCACAATTACATGTTTTTACATAATTATGAGGTCTGGACTGTTGGTGGACAAAACAAACACTGAAGGTGTCACTTTGGGCTCTTAATCTGATAATATAATATAGGCTTAAATATTGGTCACAGGTTACATTATTTGAGTAACATTTCCGATGCAGTGCGTTTACCTGTAACCTAGTGTTTTAACACTGTGGAATTAGAATTTGTAATTATACTGTATTCAGATTGGCCTGATGGGAACAATATCTACTGTATACCGCGAGGGGGAAAGGTGATGATGTGAAAAAACACAACAAAGATGAACATCTACCCACAGTTGCTAGATGGACGAATTAAGAAGTGTCATGTATACAACATTAAAAGACTATATAACCTGAAGGAAAAATCAGGTGAGTTTAAAATAGTTGGATTTATTTTCTAACATTTCTGAATTACGTCTGTTTTATTTTTTTATTTGTTTCATCCCGCACAAAAATTATTCACAAGGGCTTTTAATTCCCGGAATGTAATTTCTTATTTTCCCCTGTTTTTATTTATTTATTTATTTTCTTAGAATAGTTATATGCTTAAGAGAAAATACTGGTTGGATGGGTTACAGGGGATGTGTGGTGGTAGTGGGGAGGGGGTGAGTAATGGGCTGATTCAGTCTTAGGGCGTTTATAAAGAAACCAATAAAGATAATGCTTGGGTGAAGAAATACATTTGAGACATTCTAAACCTCCTGTGGTCTTTCACAGTTTTACTGACCTGCCTGAGTTTCACCCAGAGTGCTCGGCGTTGCTCAGAGCTGAGAGAAGCATCCTGAGCAAAAACTTCTACGCACTGATTCAGATCCTGCTGTGACATACGGCTGAGCTGAGTGGAGGTCCAAGCTGAAGGAAACGTCCCTCTGATGTCTGCACAGCTTGGGACTGGCACTGCACAAAGAGAGGGCAGTGAATGTAACACTCTGTTAAAACTTACACCAAACATAAGCCACAGTATCACGCCAGCTTAGATAGAAAATATTCAGAGAACCTTTGGCCCTCCTGCTCCGAGCTTTGACAATCCCTCGAATGAGACTCTGAGTCTTCAGTTTCTGCCGCTGCTGGTCCACACACTGAGATACACAGACTCCGCCCACCACACTGTCCTCCCAGAGACTTTGGCCCTCCAGCACCTGCTCCACTGTGTCTGTATTCAACACTGTCTGCACAGGGGAAACACATATCAGGCCGTGTCTCGAAAAGCAGGTAAGATTAATTAAATCCCTGGGTTGATGCTTTTAGGTGCTTACCAGAGGGATGGAGTTAAGCTGCTTTGTGGAGAGAGAAAACACCAGCCGGCCCAAATGTTCCACATCCCCAACCTGCCATTTAGACGGCTCCCTGGCAATGAATACACATATCTTACTATCACTACAGATGTATGCAAACCATGTCTTACAAGCAAGTTTTCTATATGGAATTTAATGCATTTTAGAGGATAGGAATCAAAAGGTATAAACCGAATACTTATTTTCACTTATTTATGATTTTTACGGTTCTATGGATAGGTCTCCCTGTCAGTCCATCACTTTGTTTCAGACTGACACATCTCAATGACTTTTTGGTGGATTACCATGAAACTTTACGACACACATTCATGTTTACCTAAGGATGAACTGTGATATATTTTATCGTGCACCATCAAAATATAAATGTGTATTTGTTTTTTAAAAGATGTCTAGAAAAAATATGAAGCGACCAAATATTATATCTTAGGCATATTTTGAAATGAGCCCCTAACATACTTTTGACAAAGGTGTCATAACCATCACATTTTCAGATAGCTGTTGCTATTATAACTCACTTCAATAATTTTTCAAATCAATATCTTAACATTTTATTGACCCAGGTGTTATAACCAGGACATGAGGAGTGTTTTTACCCGAGGAGGTCTTTCTTTGTGAGCAGGACACTCATTTCTCTCAGAGTCTCTTTAGGAAGGCAGAAACTTCTCATCTCCTCGAGCCGCAGACCCACAGCTGCTCTGTCCACCAGAGCCAAACTGTCCCGGTCCAGGAAAGGCAGTAAAGGCCCAAGGACGTCCAGAGTGGAGCCATCAATCTCCCCCTGAGCCTGAAAAGAGCCCTGCAGAGCAGCACACTGTCAGTAGGGCTGGATCACATGGATTTCACACTGATATGACTTCACTAGTGGTGTGACATGCTGTTGAGAGGATGAAGCAGGTTATGTTCTGAATCTCTGTCTCCATCTGTTCTCTGTTTGTGTCTGTTCGTGTGTGCTTTCTTGAAATAGCTTGAAAAAAACAAATGCTGTGTGGTCTTTCTGCCACATCAGTTTGTTTAAACAAACCAAATACACGAGTCACCATCACAGAGGCAAGCGCTAATTTCCTTTTACCAAAAATAGCATTTGTTCTGAATGCTCATGGTGCCAGTTTATCCTCTTAAATACCCTGAGGTTAATTAAGGATTTCTGTTCCAACATAAGGATGTTAATAGATTACATGCGGCATGGTTTCTGATCACTTTTCTATTTTAAGAAATGTGTCAACTCCTGCACATCATCTAAAGATACGCAGATGATGAAGGCAGTATTTTGATGGGTTTTGTTTGTGTTTACCAGCTCAGTTACGGCCTTCTCTGCCAAATGTGTCTGCTTGTAATATGGCAGTCTGAGGAAATCCTCAAAGTGTGCCTGAATGTGGTCCAGAATGGCTCTGAAGGATACATTAGAGAGATCCTCTATCATTGTCACGCTGAAATAGAACAGAGCAGAAGTGTTAAAGCAGTTATTTTGGCAAAACGGTGAAATATTTACGTTTTAAAAAGAGATACATACGGTAAAGTTACAGCAAACTCAGAGCTCAAAGCACTGAGGGCGAGCTCAGGTTGTTTCCTCAGTTCTTCTACAATACATTTTCTCTGGAAACACAGACAGAACATATCTGAACTTGTTAGAATCAAACATAATATTGTCATTTGATATGTGAAAACAGCACATTCATGAATCATGGCTACGTATCAGAGACTATAAAGACTGTGAGAGGTGCTGAAGTGTTTGTTCCTCACCAGAGCCGGTCTCACGCCTCCAGGGAGCTCACTCACAAACTGAAGCAGCTCTGCAAAATCTGTATCGTTGATCCAAAGCCTCAAAAAGTCACAACTCATGCCACTGGCAATATTACCCAGATCCCTAAAAGTAAAAAGAGAAGTTTTATTTAAATTGCTTATTGGATAAGTATCACACCTGGAAATGTGTTCAATTTGCAAGTTCAAATACATCATGATTAACACCAATGATCTCAAGGATCTGGTGCAATTCATCCAACTTACCTCACCATATTGTGGGTAATGTTTTTAAATGTATGGATCTTTTTGAACAGAAGTTGTGCCTGTCACGACAAAGAAAAAATAGAATATTGTTCACACATATTTGTAATGATCCCATAACCCTCACATACAAGCCAGCATTATCCAATACATGTTTCTAAAGGATGAACCCTTTCCACAACACTTTCCTCTAATGTCTCAGTCTGGACTCAAGAGTGGATGAAGAATTGTTCATCGATAAACAACCTCATAACTATATCCATTTTGCACACCATACAAACGTTTGCACATTGTATGCACATATTTAAAAGGAACACTTTTTCATTGTAACTCTTGTTTTATTTGTGTTGTTAATGTGTCTTTCTGCGCTCTATTCTTTGTTCAGGGTGGTTGCGATTGTGTACTGCTTCTGTGACATGAGTTGTGCCCCTAGGTATAACAACAAGTATGTCTATCTGTTGAAGCTGTGGAAACATGTCTCCAACTTTTGGTTTGTTTAAAATCCATCTCCAGCTCTGCACAGCAAAAATGAAGTCTGGGTTTAAACTCAACATAGGTTGTATATCGCTGATGTAGCCCACCAGATACACTACCTTGTATTTTTATTTATTTTTATTCTTGTAAAGCACATTATATGAAAGGTGCAATACCTAATAAACTTAAATTACTTTCTAAATAGGTGCAAAGAGTTTTGGGTTAAACCTAAAAACATTCAGATTAGTATTGAATTGAATTATTGAAGGAACAACAGTGTGGTTGACATGTTGCTTAAAATCACACAGATGTCTCCAAAATATCAAACACAATGGCAAGGTAGAGGAAGATTAAACTTTTGGTTTGTATAAATATCATATTTTTGGTTTTATATTAAGTGTCACAGTATACTGCGATGCAGCGACTCACTGAAAAGGGCAAACTTTATTGATTTGACTCAGGTCTTGTTAGGCCGGGAACAGGAGGTGAAATATACTCTTGGCTGTGACAAAATCCCTTTAAGGTAGCCATTATTAATGTATACTACACTCCTCTACACCATTGTATTACATCCAAACTAATTAGCTTGATGGCAGCTGATGCGTGGGGAGTATTAATATCCTGAAAGGCTCACCTGAAGCATATCTAATGAGTTGCAGATTAATGGGACCGAAGCTGGTAACATTTTCTTCTTTAGTCAGAGAACCACCAACCCATTGTTGTTGTATCAATGCAGTGTGAAACAGCACACAAAGGTAGGTTAAGGTAAAGTGCGCACCTGCTGTGGTGACCAGAGCACGTCTCTGTACAGGCCAACATCTCTCAGAACTGTTTCCCCATTTAAAGTTTCTGTCAGCTTCCTCAGAGGAAGCCATGGTAGAAGGCAGTTCACCTGCGGAGTGATGTTCTGCAAGTCTCTGCGAAGAGCCTGTTAACTCACACAACAATACAAGAAGGTGAATTTAAACCAAGAAGCCTTTAAAGTAAACATAAAAAAGGACGACATATGTGGATCCAATTAACTTCCTGGAAAACCAAATTAGCTAGATAATTAGTCCAATGATTTTTTTAATTAACTTAATGTCATATTTGCCCTGTGAGATTTATCTGTCAGGAAGGAAATTAACCTTACCACCTCTATTGTCAATCTAATCCTCATGTGAAAACAGACAAGCCAAAGCTAATTATAAGGAGGGATGAAAAGATAAGAGAAGTGTTGTACAGATATTAGCGGCGTCACCTCCTGCATTGCATTGTATAGCATGGCTCTATGTCCGGGTTTAAGCTCAATTAGCATGGTCCTCCAACACTGACAGTGGGGAGCTTCACTGATCTCAGGCCACTGGAGGTCTCTGAGCACAGCGGGGGAGAGACCCGAGAATAACGGCCTCAGTCTGCACAGTTGGTCTACAGTGAGCTGCCAGGGAGAGAGAAACACACTGATGAAAGTGCAGTGGGCTGAAATGCAGCAAATATATTTTGAAGGCTGTGTACTTACAGTGGTGTTCTGTGATATTTTGTGTAATATTTGAAAAGCCTGGGAACATTAAAAATGAAGAGATATTCAAACATCGATATAGAAATGTTATCGTGCAAAGGTCACATATCTCACAAATCTGGGTATCATCTTCTTTCACTAGAAATTTGGCAAGCATTGTCTGCAGTTCTGAGAAAACCCTCACAGTACATGTAACAGTAAAGGCTGAATCTTAGATCCATGTAGTATCTTAGAGAAAATGTTTTTTTGATTTGTTAACCAAATGTAATCATTTTTATGGAAATCAAACATTTATTTGACCCAAAAGGTTTGGTTTTCGAATATCGAATAACCCAATCAAATCATTTCCAAAGCCTAAACAGTTTCTTTATTAGGTCTTTATTTGTGTGCAACTTTCATTGTTGTAAATTGAATGCTGTGGCACTCTGATTGTATTAATATGTCTTTGTTAATATTATCTGATGTATATCTATTTGAACATTCCTGCATTTCTTCAAACACTCTGTGAAGCACGTTTGACCTGACTAATACTAAAACATGACAAGAAGTCACATGAAAAATGAAAAATATATCCCTGCTGACCTGTGCTGGGGAGTAACTGTGTGATCCTGGTTGTGAGAGGATTTCCAGAAGTTGCTGTGAGGGGAGCGACAGCAGGAAGGAAGTTCCTAACTGAGGAAACAGACCGCTGAGGGCCAAGAGCTCCCGAGGGGCCATGCTGCTGACGTTCAGGGCTTCAGCAGCGGGTATCAACCAAGAGGACAGCTGACCACGAAACATAGTTTAACAGACATAGTCAGTATTGAGGACGTCGTTTTAAAGCACATTTGATGTATTGGACTCATGAACAGTTGCTGCTCACCCTGCCGCTGGTGCTGACCAACCCTTTGGACATGCACTGAGCCAACTGCTGCCAGAGAGCCGAGGACACAGCCGAGTCCTGGAGAAAGGATCCCAGCTCCCCTGGATCCAGGTAACAGACAAGCACTCCTAACCTGCAAAACACATGGGATGGCACTTTGGTTTTGGCCCTCTAGAGAGAGAGAGACAAGAGAGAGAGTTTCTGGGTCTCACCTCGGTATGTCATCACGTGTAAAATTATTCCTGTTGCTGAAGAGCGTCCGCAGCACATGGCGCCCCCTTACACCATCCAGACTGCTGTTGCCTAGCAACTCTAGCAGAGGAGTAAGCTAGACGGAAATAAAGCATAAAAAGGTTTAATTTACTAGTTTCTCCACGAATTTTGATTCGTACATACAACACATACAAATGCTTATAAAAAACAAGTTGTATAAGTTTCGCTATAAATTATCAACAAAAGTGTATACAGAGCTGGAACGATTAGTACATTGAGAAAAACATTTTGTATTAAATAATGGTTCCAGCTTCTCAAATGTGACCATGTTCTACTATCTTTCTATATTTTAAAACATCATCTGCTATTCCAAACAAACTTGTTCTTAAGTAACATTCTTAATGCAGCCATTTTATTGGTAACTAAGTCTTTTTAAAGTGTGTAAGTAGCTATTTGGTTAAGTAAAGAGTCTAAATAAGTTCTCCACTGAGTGATGGTTTAATGTAATGATGGTGGAGAGCACTGCCACATCTTCCATAACTGGAGTGAGATCTATGAAGGCAATGGCTTATTATTTCCTTTTTTCCTTGTATGCCCCTCTCCAGGAGTGTTTGATTCTCCCTTGTTCATATTTAATATTAACAATAATTTACTTATCGTCTGACCATGTCTGCGATAACAAACTGTGAAAGAGAGCCAACCTGTTTGGTTGTCAGCTGCTGAAAATGACTGACTGGGAGGTAAGGCAAAAGTGGGAGGATTGAACTGAGAAAGTACGGTGGCCATGTTGGGACATCCCCAACCACACTGGACTGCAGGAGTCTCTTCACAAAGGCCTTTTTCTGCAGCGACTTCATCCCGGAGCTGTGGTCACGAATGGCTGTCAACCTAAAGAGCAACAGAATCTGTAAGCACTAGAAGAGTAAGATAAATAAAACGCAACTATTTCTTATCTCAGTGACTCACACGCTGTCGTTGACTATCAGGGATGCTGGGAAGCTCATAATATCGGAAACAGACATGAAGGGGATGAACTGAGACATGTCCACGAACAATTCAGGGGTCACTCGGGGGAATTTATGGATGAAAGCAGCGGTCATTGTTTCCATGGCCTGCAACTCTTTTTGAGACGCCTGACAGAGAAAACAAAAGAGCGGGACACAAACTGATGTGCATTCAATTTGGCCCTCTTTAACTATGCATGGGCCGTGAAATTGATTTTTTTTAAACAGAAAGAGCAAAGAAAAAGCAATAGAGCATCCCTCTGGAGTAAACTGAGGGAATAAAGGGACCTGCACAAAAGGTTTCAACTTCACAATTTGGCATAAAATAAAAAAGACATATTCTTTCTCTTATCAGTGATGCTATTATTTAATCTGGGTTGATTGTTGCAAGTTGTAGAGACTTGTACCTTCTCCTATAAATATAATGGAACTAAATGGCACTTCACGTCTTGTGGTCAAGAACTTGAACAACTATATTTAGTTTTTTTTGGGGTTTGATAAATAGCACTGCGGGTTAGAGGTATAATTTTGTCGATAACATTTTAGGTTGAGCTGTCCATATACATTTTTTTATCAATGATAGTACATCACTTTCTTCAGAGTTTGAGGACAAACCTGGTCGGTCTCAACTTGCAGCTGGTCCCAGCTCTGATGCATGTGGGAGATGAATCTCTTTACAGCATCTTTTTCTGCAGACATCACAAGAGTGCGGATGCTGTCTCTGGGCATTTGGAGGTACTCCTGGAAAGATACAGAGATTCATCTAAATATAAAGTTCAGGTAGCTGAGATGTTGTGTAGGTTCAATGGGAAAGTAGCTGCACAGGCCAGTACCTGCAGCAGGAACCTCAGGGCAGACGAGTTGTCGTCCCGCTGGATGAGGTCCCATAGGACGGGCTGATGTAACAGGAAAAACAAGTTACTCTTTGCTTTGTGTGTTTGTTTGTGTGTGTGTGAGTGTGTGTGTAAGCTATCTTACACTGAAGCAGCTCAGTAGGTCCTCTTTGAGAGTGGCGTTCTGCTCCCTGCGGAGGAAAACTCCCACGGTGTGAAGGATGCTCCTTTGTGCTTCTGGCTGCAGTGCGGCCCAGGGTGTGTTGTCAAGGAGACTGGAGAGGAGGATGGCCTGACCCAAACCTTGTCTCGCCTCTCTCTCCCCCTCATCAAGGCCCGAAGAGAGGCCTACCATGAAGTCTAGGACCCTCAACACATATCCCAGCACCACTAAAAACCCTTCCTGCTCCCCCCCCTCGACCTCACACACACTGAGCTTGTGCAGAGCTTCCACAAGCAGAGGAGCCGGGTCCACACACAGCTGCGATGTGTCGAACTCATAGGGCGCCGGGAGCATTTCAAAAAACCTCTGCAGGAGGCACTTCCTGCCCTCCAATTCCGCCTGCAGATCTGCACAGAAATCAGCAAACTGAGGGATTAATGTTGACAGTTTATTGTAGAGTGTGACATTTAGACAAATGTACTCTCTCAATCCATGTGTCTGCCCACAGAGCTCCAGGAGCGTAGAGTTGGTGAAATGATGCACAGCCCATGCGCTGTACTGACAAGTCTCCTCAAAGTTGTCCTCATGGGAGATGTTGAGTATCTTCGAGCAGTACGCTGCGGCCCAGCTTTCCTCTGGCAGGGATTGTTGTGAGTCAGGGGACTCTCTCCCGCACAGAGCTGAGATAATGACGGAGTTGTTGGGCAGGAAACAGTGTCTGAAGGCCTGCGCACTGAGCAACCTGCTGCCCAGCTGAGCCAGACAGTCATCATCCAGGACCGGACTTTCTATTGCCTCACTCGGCAGCTGCACACACAGTTCATCTATACTCGTCAGGTCAAAAGAATGGTAGTCCTTTGTAGAAGCAGCCTGCAAATAATAATGATATAATAAGCAAACATGAAGTAGAAGAAATTATGAGTGAAAAACAATACATAGCAAGTGTGGTATTGGAGTAGTGAAGTAAATTGTTGCCATGTTTTCTGTCGTTAAATGCTGACACTACAAACATTATAGAGTCTTAAAAGAGAGAACATGTTTTTTTAATTTTCTATTGTAACTGAACCCCTTTGACCATTAATGTACACAACATTATGTACATGTTCTTTCTGGAACGATAATCAAATCAATCGAATGGTCTAAAAAGATGCATGTTAATAATTTGTTGGCAATTTTTGGGGGGTATATCCCCTGAGATCAAGGTGGCATTTTTGGAGATAAACCTCAAATGGGTTACCTTTTTTTGCTGGCAGTACCATGTGAATTATTTGTTATCTTTTCAAAAAAAATCTTTTTCTAGCTTTAACCAAACATGATTTCTTCCTTTTGGAGAAGTTCAAATTCTTTCAGTCTGAAGTCATTTGTAGCCTGCAAAGCTATGATTTCAAAGAATCTTCCCTAACAGTGAGCATGTTCTCAGCACACCTAACAGTAACCCTGACCCTAACTGTGACACAGATATAGCAACTTCCCAGAACACCTTTATCAAAAGGTGGCTCATTACCTGATGTGCTCTCTGCAGCCAGAAAGAAGAGTTGGCACAGACTGTGTTGTTAAATTCATGGGCAAAGTACTCGCTGCACACATGAACCCAGAGGAAGTCCTCCTCAGCAGCAGACAGGTACCAAGCTGCATCAGAGCACGTAGCATGCAGGTCGAGACCCATGTGGGCCTCAGCAGGATCAACTGACCCGTTTTCCCCTTCAAACAATTTACAGTAGAGGAACACAGTGAAGTTGGACACGCCTGTTAACCCCGGGATGGATTCATTACACGCTGCCTCCAGGATTTCTATAGAGGTGAAGTACTCCATTTCTCTCTGCTGGATGCTGCTTTCTCTTCTTCTGCCTTGTTGTGGCTGGGAGCGCTCAGGTGTGGTAGGGAGGTCGTGAAGGTGTTTTTGATCTGGGATTTTTCGTGAGGATGGGCCTGTTTTTGGAGATGAGTGTGCCGGTGTTAGTCGTGATCTTTGTTCATATCCTTCCGTGGAGGGACAGGACAGGAAAGGCAGTGAGCTTGGAAGACCCTGGGAGTTAACGCCCAAAGCCTGAGTGTTCCACGTCACATTATGTTTTATCCCCCTGCATGGGTGTGAACAGAACAATGGAAAAACAATTGTTTTGCTTATAACTTACATTCAAATATGTGGCTTCAATTACACAAAAGGTTATATTCCTAGGGATATCTCACCATAAGATCAGTTGTCTCAGGTCACCTTCAAAAAGACAAAAGAAAAGCACATATTTACAGATAATCAGAGTAGGCCTACTGTATATGAGCGGTGGAAAAGGGCAGCTGGGAGCTCCTGCAGTACACGACCATGCCTGATGCAACAGTGCAGCTCAGCTAACAATGCCCGAGATATAATGTTACCGACATCAATGGGAGGATAAAGAGATTAGCTGGGCTATCAACAGATGCTTTCACCGGCCGGGACGATTATAAAGATTTTAAAGCAGTGTCAGTCACTGTCTCTGCTTCTTTCAGGTGAAACCAGGGCCAAACTTATGAGGCTCTTTGCATTGTTTTTTACTCTGTGAATAACACAAAATAAAGCATGATTTACTTCTTTACGTTTAAATTAGCATTTTATTTAGTTAATGTCTGAAGTATCATGGCTTTTTCCACAACCATGCTTTGAAGCAAAGCATACAGTTATGATATAGATATGTGTATCTAACTACAGCAGCATTTGTGTATGTAAGCTAAAATGGGAGGATGCCTTTTCCTAATTAATGAATTATTCTATGATATACTAGAACTTGTGAATTACAGAGAAAAAAAGGGTAAAAGCACCCTATGGACACAGACTAACACTCAGGAACATAATCATTATCCCTAGAGACCGGCAGATTGAATGCCACTTCAGAGAAGGACAGATTTTATTTGTTAGCTTTGTTATTTGGTGAATTTAAGAATGACGTTCACGTTCTGTTTTCCTCTCCTGCCTACGAGGAAATAAGAGATTACTTTTGTTGATGTATTTTGGCTGGATGTCAAATAAGTTGAGTTTTACTTCAGGGCACCTTTTTCGTAACAGTATTTATCTGTTATGCTTGGGAGTTAAGGCAAACATATTTAGTTTAGAAGTGTTGAAATGAGCTGTAATTTTGCAATCATGAGGATTTGCCATTGACACGGAAATGTAAGAAATTAATCAATCTATGATCACATGTGTGTGAGAAGTGTACTAATATAACTTGGTTTTAGTTCTGTTATGATTATTATTATTATGAACCTTGAGGGCAAACTCCTCCACATACTCACCGACTGAGCACCGGCCCCGAATGTTGGGCTGCGGCACGTCCACCAGGCTGCTGACATCATCAAGCAGTGCCATGGTAACTCGTGACACTTTCTTCCTCAGGTTACCGTAGACAGAACTACCCACCCTGTGTAGGAGGCCGCTCCGCAGCCCATCCAAAGTCTGAACCAGAGCCAGATTATTCTGTGCCATGGGGCCCCCTCTCTCTCCTCCACCTGAACGTGATAACGCCTGAAGCAGGAAACTTTGTATGGATTCTGGATATTCCTCCTCTGCGTCTTCCACAGATGCGTGACCAGACAACCCGTCCTGCCTCATGGCCTCAGGGGGCAGGCTGAAGGGCTTAAATCGTCCAAATGCACTTGAGCTCCTACTGTGTTCAGCACCTTCCCCTGCTGGGTGGAGACTCACCACAGGCTTCCAGTTGCGTGTTTCTAGGAAGCGCAGCAGCTGCTGGAGCCAGCTGACATTGAAGGCACAGTCACTGTGACCCTTCAGAGCACAGATGAAGCCCTGCAGTCCTGCACTGGCCTGGCCATAGGTACCACTGAGCAGAGCCTGAAGTGTAGCCTCAAACACAGCACTCACTGTCCTCCAGTTCTGCGACAGGAAAGACAACAGGGGCTTTTGGGGCTGCCGCTCCGACAGACTGATGAGACTCTGCAGCAGCCCCAGGAGCCAGTCCCAGTGAGGGCTGCCCCGCATGGACAGAAACCAGTCCTGCACTCTGATGCTGGGTCGAGGTGGTGCCTGGTCGTTCCACTGGTTCAGTACAGCGCTGCCTTCAGACTGCAGGAAGTAATGCAGCACTTTCTCCCACAGCTGCTCCTCGTCTGGCTCCGCGGGGGCCTCCTCCAGCTCAGCACCCATCTCCTGGAGGTACAGAGAGATGTTGTAGAGGAACCCCGAGAGACGGTGCCGGTCAAATGGCTTGTTCAACGAAGGCAGGTTCTTGCTGGGGAGGAGGCCAAGTGTCTTTAGGCCCCCCATAATATTCCTTACCCAAGGGGGCATCGATTGTTCACTGTTTGTTTCTGGGGGAGCTTTTTGAGGATTCCAGCCACTTCCTGCACTCCATTTTGAAAGGATCTCCTTCAGAATGGCATCTCTCTGGTTCTTTTTACCACCTTCTGAAAAAGTCCCAGTGGAGACAGCTTAAACCCAGCATCATGTAAAAAACACATGTTGTAATAAAGAACTAAATATTTTATTTAGCAAAATTGTTGGTGGTGCACTCACCTGTCTTCTCAGGGGATCCTTGCCCCAGTAAAACAGCACAGACAATGATGCTGGTGAATGTAAGAGTGGCCATCCCTGGCCCTTTCTCAGCCATCTTCATCTCATGGCAGCACACAAAGTGACACAGTGGCGTCACATATTTTTCCTCAGGCTGTTATTCCTAATGATTTCACAAAGTGTTGTGATTAAATAGGTGCTGCTTTTTTCATTTAAGTAATAGGGAGGACTCAAGGAGTAAGGTACCTCTACGGAGAGAGGGGATATTAAAAGTTAATGACCGTCCACCACATCACCTTACCACTCTCACTGTGCGGTTACCAAAACAAGCATCAGTAATTTACCGTTTAATTTACTCAACATCGATGACATGTTAAAGGGAAGTGATGCTGAAAATTGACCATATATAAAAGTTATGAAGTATGAAACTAAAATACATTTAAAGAAACAGCGCTTTAGGAGATTATTTCGACAAGAATAGCAAAGATGCATGTTTTCCAGTGTAAAGTAATATCAAATAATAAAGAAAATACCAGAGGTCACAACATTTGTTTAGAATAAATTCTGAACTCACCAAAAGTTACAATCCGTCATTTCGTTGAGAACCCCTTAAGCTTTTGGTAGCATGTCTTCCTCAGGCGTATCAACACACTGGGAGCTGACCTCTTTGTGAGTGTCACTCTCTGTTTCACCATCACTCCGACTTTCTTTACCTCTCACTCTCTCTTCTGCACCCCTCCCACCTGTGTCCTCAACTCTCTCTGTGCTTTCAGCTCATGGTTGCTGCACTTTTTCTCTCTCTGGGGTTTGGTGATTGACCTCATATTTCATGAGTTATCTTGCCATGCTACAGTATGTAGGCTGCTGTTTATGACAATGTGCAGGGGGGAAAAGGGAGATGCTGGACATATTCCTCATTATTTGGGGAATTTTGTATTTGTATCTATTAGATATGGTTTTGTGTTCCAGTCCAGTATTGTGGGCCATCTCGAGGCTATAGGAAGGTCACAGCACTCAGCTAGGTGCTCAAACAAGGTGAAAATCTGGATCATGTTAATCACACCCAGGAAATATATCCCATTCTCTAACTGTCCGATGTCCCCCACCGACTGATTCCCTATTGAGCCGTCTCTCAGCTGGGACTCATCTTGTGACTCTGGGTTGGTTGGGGGTGTAGTCTTACCGACGGGGACGGGGCCAGCAGAGACTGTGCAGGCTGTCAGTGTTTGGACACATTTATCCCTCCGCCAGGTAGACTTACAATTGAGCCCTGTGCAAGTGTGCAGCAGCCGGCTCCCAAGAGTCAGACCCCTGTCTGCGGGCTTGAAACCCAAGAGGGCCCAGTGAAAGGGCCCCCCCTCCCTCCACTTGCTTTAGCTGTATGATACTGTGGCCTGCACAGAGACAATAACATCCTCCTGTATTATTGATACCACAGGGAACAGCGATCACTCATCGCTGCAGGGCTCGATTCACTACAGGAATATTCAATGAGAAACCCGACCCCCCTATACGTTTCTCCTCTCTCTGCTGGAAACTCAGGCAGGGAAGAAATCTGCTGGTGAAACAAGCTGTTGAGATTTGGATACTTGCTTTGTCTCCAACTGTGTTGCCCCCATCAATGGAAGTAGAAAAACATCAACAAATCAAATGACCCCATTAAAAATAAACCACAATACAACTCCCTTTTACAACGATAACCATTAGCATTGTATATAGTAGTATACAAGTTTCCAACACAGCTTTTCAGCAACCAGATCGTTTTTTCCATTAAATCTAACAAGGAACCTTAAAGGTGGGGTAGGTAAGTTTGAGAAACCGGCTCAAGATACACTTTTTGTTATATTCCATGGAATGCTCTTAACATCCCGATAGCAATAAATATCTTAAGTGCTTTGACAAAAAATCCATTAAAAAATGTCATCTGTGGAAGCCGTAGCGCTGTAAAAAGCACGACCTATCATTTTAGCCGGCCCGGCTAAAATAACTGGATGGCCTACCTGCCTGTCAGCCTTCCATCTGTGCACCTACCCCACCTTTAATCTCGAAGTTGTTTCCCCCTGAAATAATAAATGATATAACATTTTGTTATAAGGAACAAAGGATAACAATTGTTTCGACCGCAATGACACAGAAGGAAATAACTACCACTGCACTTATTGGCTGCTGTTATTACTTTTCTTGGAAACATTTTTATATTATTACCAAGGGTTGTTAAATCTTAGTTTCCCCTCAAAGAAAAGGCATTTATGTTAGTATATATACTTAAATATCAAGATTTCAACCATAAGGGTTGCAGTTCCAATACATAAAATGCTTCTTCTCTATTGAGATTTTTTTGTGTCGAATACTAATATTAAGTTTGAAATTCAATCTTTTGCTACAGTCATTTTTCTTTCCCAGATAAAGATGTTCCTAACGATTTTAGTTTAAATGAATGTCATAATAGATAATTATGTGAAGCACATTGTGATTTAGAATTTGACAGATCAGTCCCTTAGTCATATTTGTATTTGTTTGTTAAATGAATATTACCTAGTGTTGAGAATGACCTGTACTGTTTTCCAGAGTGATGATGAAAGCCAAAATCATTTTTCGTGTTTATTTATTCATCCAGAGAACACAAGAAGCATAATAAAGACACAAAAGACAATCATCTCTGTAATTATCAGAAATAATGTTTAAAGAGGTTTTAGGTACTATTTATGTATTATATTTCCTCTAAGCCTGATATAAACCCATCACTTTTTAAGTGCAGACAGATTGCACAAATGACCAAAATAGAGCAGATTATCCCCAACAGAAAATGTGTTTTGATGAAAATGCTTTTAAAATGTTACGTATCCCTGAAAGATGTGAGCTGTTAGTTGGAGATAAAACCAAATAAAAAACTTTATGTCATCCCCAGAGCTTAGTTCATACTCTTGACAGATAGGGAAATTGTTGCACATTGCAACTAATTTAGTTTTTCTTAACTTTATATCAGTTTAGATTAAGTGAAATGGATGCAAATCTCCATTAGAAGCTAAATCCAGTGACTCATTACAACTACAAGTATATACTACTACCACTAGTAGTGAAAACTAAAATGTTGGCCCAAACTGAGCTAAGACCAGAATCTCTTTTACCATGGAAAAAACATCACACCCTTTCTTTAAACATTCACTTAGGATGCACATTTTCAGTAACTATTTAATCCTAGTTTCATTTATTATATCAATTTGTATATACTTCTGAATATCTGGCCTGACACACAGGATAATAAAAATGTACTAAATCCATATGAACCATTTGCAAAAGGATCATAAAGAAAATAATATAATCAAAAAGACTATACTTAAACAAACTAGCTCAAAAATAAATGACATAAGACTTTTTGTGTAGAGGCACGAGGTTTTCCTTTAGGAGTAGCTTTTAGATACTATTTTTGGTCTTTGACAATGACTTTAAGAAGTCAACTAAATCGACAAATTAAGGCATTCAAACTTTTATGTGTTACAGAGTTTGCTGGTCTGTTTGAAAACTACAACATTACTGCAGTCGTTCCGCAGTTATTCCTCTCTGCCTTCGGAGGGCAGTATGAACCAAGGGCACGATGGACCTCTTAGTCTAAACCGAGGGTAAACTCCTATCTGTTCATAACTACATTATTCCAAATATATATTTTCAAATTAAGAAAACATGATGGTATTAATTGTGTGTCTGTATGAATATAAAATATGACAAAGCTGTCAGACAAATGATATCAGAGGCAAAAAAAAGAGATGATTTGCTGTTAACTCTTACGGTGTATATTACTTCCCATTTTTGGGCAAATCCAAGTTCCAAGTCCTTTTAGAGACTGTTTCCCGACAAGACTGCTCTCAAAGGGTTTAACTCAAAGCCCCTCCACCGAGACACGGAGAGATCTTTGCTTTGCTTCGTAGGTCAGCAGCAAATCCTTACGAGCCTGCCGGATACACGTGAGTATGAACAGCACGACAGCATCAAAGTGAATATCATCATTTGTGAAATATGCATTTCAGCAAATAAAGAAATGACTAACCTTGGAAATCTGAGCTCTTTTATTCTGTAACTTCTTGATGGAATTATTACTGGAGTCAAGATATTCCTACAAACAAAAACATGTTACTCTGAAAGTATTGTACAAACGTGCAATGTATGCAACGTGCATGATATACTATATACTGTTAAAAGGAAATGTACCTCAATTTTGTTAGTGACCCCATTAATGGCAGTTTGGTCCATGTTAGAGGCAGAAATCACAGAGAAGAGCTGAGCCTGCGTCTTCTCCACGCTCTCTATCAGGCCTTCCAGCTTCAACTCCAGCAGCGAGCTCTTCAGATTCACTTTATGCTGCACCTTCTGAACGTTCTCAGTGAAAGTCTTGATTAGCTCATCCCTCTCCTGCTGAAGCTGAGTGACGTTCACACACAAACAAATACAAAAACATTCACATAATTACCCAAAAGCAATCAAAGCATTTGACCCACATTCAACATTTGAGCTACATGACAGCGCAACTCAATTTCAATCTTACCTTGCTGAATTTCTGTTCCATAGTTTCACATTCCCGTTTCAGATCATCCAGCTCATTCTTTTTGAGCTTTTCATTGAAATCCTGTCAAAAACAGTTTCAAAGATTGACCTTGTGCCCATGTACAGTATGCTACACTTATACTGATTAGGTCACTGGTATTAACACATGTCAACGATCCTTGTAACCAACAAACCGTGTTCTTTGTATAGTTATGGATTTTTTTCTCCTTTTTAACAATTTGCTCTTTGACGTTGGATAGAAGCTCAGTGAGACGTTTGTTATCGTCCCAAAGATCGGTCAAATCCTGTATCTTCTGCTTCTGTTTGCACTTCATGGCTTGTATTAGGAGCTAAGAAAAAACAATTAAACATTCCATGTAGATAAAACAAAACCTGATAATTGTTTCCACTTTATAGAGTAAATCAATAAGTACTAAAAGAAAAGCTCATCATCGAGCCTGAAGAAAACATTGTAATGTATTTGCCTTCAGTCTGACAAAGATGCATAATGCGTCAATAAATACCTTGACTGTATCGTTCGTATCCAAATCCTGAGGCATGCTATCAACGAGAGCTTTAGCTTCCTTAAAGGTTTGGTTGTGGTCTTCTATAACAGTGTTAATGTGTCTGTTCCAAAGTGCTTCTCTCTGACTGGTCTCTTGTTTCCTCATGTTGTACAGCTCTAATGGCAGTGAATCCATCTTTTTCTCATACTTGGCTTGGATTCCTACTCAATTAGTGACAAAAAAACAGACAGCTCCAATTGAGTTTTTACAGCACTGGGTGACGCATTCAAATCAAAATGAGATTCGCTTTTTTTTTACCTGCGAGTTTCTTCTCCAAGCTGTCCCTTATTTCAGCAATTTCTTCAGCATTTGTCTGTTGAAATAACAACAAAACTGATGTTTGCTTACTTGTTTAAATAAATCAGAGTAAAGAAAAATATTCCTTCAACAGATCTTTATGTGTAGCAATAACAAAAGTTTGAACTACAAACCAGATCAAGTTCCTTGACGAGGTTTTCATTATCGTGTGCCTGCTTGTCGACCATGATGGCCTTCATGTCCTTATGAAGCTGAGCCTCTAGCTGTCCTTGCTCTTTTTGCCCCGCCTGAGTGGAGACTAAAGCATCTGCTCTCAACTCAGAGATGGTGTTCTGATGTTCACACAGGAGGTGCTTCATCTTCTGCTTATAGACCTGGTGCGGAAAATGAATAAAATGTGCTTTAATAAAGCGATTCAGTAAGAAATGACCTGCAATATGAAGGGAGGTTTCTTCCATAAAAGTGATTTGTGTTAGCATGTACAGCTGCAAAACACTTGAGTAATAACTTCACCTTGATCTCTACTTGGTGGCGCCCCTCATCCTCTTCTATGTCCTTATCAAAGTTCTTCAACTCAGCCTTGACCTCCTGAAGTTGTCTTTCTGTGATCTTCCAAAACGAGTGGATTTTGTCCCTCTCGAGCTGAAAGTAGTTTCTCTCTTCCCTCTCTCTATCCAACTCCTCTCGAAGGCGCACAATGTGTTCTTCCAGCTGAAATACAGAAATATATTTTAGTGTGGGCACATCTGAGCCAGACAGTGTGGATGAGAGGTTGTTGTTATCCCAAAGGGGCAGATTATCTATTGAACATGTTAAAGTCCAATTTGCCGTTAAAGTGAGCTACTCAGGCTGTACAATACAATTTACTAGAAAAGCATGCTGGCTTCATGGATGTATTGCTAGCTTGCAAACTGCAAATGTGAACGGATGTAGTAGGACATCCTGTTACTTTTGCCCCAAACTCAGGGATGTGAGCTTGACAGGCCTTTAGTGGGATGGGGGCTGTGACAATAATGTGACACGGGTACAGTAGTATCCAGTGTTAACTTAACCCATTCTAGGGAAGTCAGGATATCTCTGCCGCTGCAGGTTTGATTTTAACCACTCTGTGTCTTTTGGAAAACCTCTAGCTGTATGTAAGTGCAAGTCAAGCATCCTTCAGCACTTTCAAACACACACACACACACACACACACACACACACACACACACACACACACACACACACACTTCAGCTCTGACCTGCTCCTTGGACATCTCATCTTTGGAAAGGCCATCAATAAGCGTGGGAGTAATCGCCTTTGGAGGCTTTTTACTTGATCCTTTCTTCTTGGGAGGCTGCAAAAATTCAAAACATTAGAAACTATTTAAAAGTGATTCACAGCATATTTCTTAAACATTGCTGAATGAATGTAACGTTAATAACAACCAGTGGTGTAAAGTAACTCGTTTTTATTAGTATGTTGAGGTATTTATACTTTTCTTGGGGATTTCTATTTTTTGCTACTTTGTACCTAGCTCACTACAATTAGGAGTGTACTTTTACTACATTAATATAAGAAAATAATACCTTTAATTACTTACGAAACACTTTAAAGGAGTAAAACTCACCCTGCAGCTCACAAAGATATTGAAACATGCTCAACCTTTACCATCTTTGATAGCACTTAAATGAATCAATAATTATCTTCAAAACATATAATATACTATTCTAAAATTGGCCAATCTGCATAATGAGTACTTCTACTTTGGTACTTTAAATATATTTTGATGTTTATACTTTTACTTATGTAATATTTAAATGCAGGAATTGTACATGTAAACAGAGTATACTTTTTCTAGCAACAATATGATGTTCAAAGCGATAGTTGCTAACGTTAGCTGTTTACTGTATCGGTTCAGTGCAAACCTACATGGTTGCTATAATTATGTTAAACAACGCTTTACTCACCATCTTATATTGCACCACCTACTCAGATATAAGGGAAATGTTTGGTCGTTTTGAGAAGCTAGCTAGCATAGCAGTTAGTACTCAGGAGAGTCAAGCCTTTAGTTTCAAACATGTGTTGCCATAGTGACAAGAGCACGTTGTAATCAGCGCGATATAGATAGTTGCAATGTGTTCCCTCCAGGAGAGGGCGAGCTGCACCTGCAGTGAAGCAAGACATAAACACCACACTAATATTTGACAGCAACAGTGGTGTATAAACTGTGTGCATTTACTCAAGTACTGACTTTTGTTACATTTTGGGGGACTTTACATTGAGTATCTACATTTTGTTGCTAGTTTGTACTTCTAACCCGCTTCAAATCAGAGGTAAAAAGTGTACTTTTACTACACTACATGTATCTGTAGTTTACAGATTTTGTGAAATATAATCAACACCGTTAGGGAATAATTTGCCTAAGTATTCAACCTTTGACACAGTTCATCATTTTCTCCTCTCACTGTCTCCTTTCCCATGGCATAGATCTAAGGCCTTGGGTATAGCTGCTATCTCTTTTAAGTAGGAGCAGCTTGGGCGCATTGTTGTTGCCAGTCTATGAAAGAGCACAAGCCGCCATGAGGTAGTTTACTGTTCAGGGATGAAGGTTCCCTGACCCTGGCGCGCATTCTTTTCTATGGACGAGAGCTCTAGATTCAGGGTCCATATTTGTTTAGTCTCACTGATGAAGAATGTTGATTATTACACTCCGAACTAGATAAAACCTCGAGCTACAGAAAGAGTTCTTCAGAATTGGTTTGGCAACCGCTGTGTCAACTCGTGACACACCCCCTGTCTTGTCAACTCTTCGGCCGTAACTCCAAATAAACCATCAGTGTTTGACATCAAAGCTCCAACTCTCCTCGTGTCTCTCTGAGTCCTGACTCTCCATTTCTTCAGAAGTTTCCCTTACAAACACTAAGATAAGACTTTAGTAACATGGAGTAAAATCCACAAGCTACCCTGCCGCGTACAAAGTAATGAACCTTTACCAGCTTTGATAACACTTTAATATCAATAATTAGAATCAAAACATGTCATTTATATTAAACTGAAATGGGCCATTCTGCATATTAACTACTTTTACTTTTGGTAATTTATGTATATTTTGATGCAAATACTTTTGTACTTTTACTAGAGTAACATTTGTTGTATTCTTAGACTGGTACTTCTACTTTCTAAGCACTTCTTCCACCCCTGGACAGCAATCAACAAAAAAAACTCAGCTGGTGAGACTGGAGTGCTTGATTTGAGTCCAACTTTTTGACCCATCTTCCAATGGAAATATAAAATCATAAATACATGAAATTACCCTAAAATTTGCCATCATTTACTTACAAGAGCTGAACAGTTATTTTATTCACATAAATTGTGGCAGCAAAACTGCAGAAATAAGTGCACTGTATGTATGTAAAATCAAGAGTTCTACACTTGATGGATTATCAATTGGCGAATGCCATTGCACCTGCATTTGAATCTTTGCTTATTTCATGTCGCTTTCTTCCTGGATAATACAATTACTCCATATTCTATCACTTTTTCTGATGACATTGACTAGCTTCTCTAGTAGGTGTAGTTCATTCTTATCAATAGTTTGCCAATGGGCATTCAGTAGTTACCTGATTCACGACTGTCTCAGTTTCTTTATACAGCACCTATCAATTAAACAATTCTAGGAATACTAATTTCAATTTGTGTTGGATAATGTTGTTAATAAAGCAAATGAATTGGAGACAATATTCAAAATCATATGTTTTTATTTGTAAATAACAATTTAAAAACAGAAAACTATGTACATTTTCAAAGTATAATGTTTACTTGGGGAGTCCTTAACACAGGAGTTCATGGTCAAACATTGAGCATGGGGACGTCAAAGGCATCACAGAGGCCTTCCCTCTGATCCAGATTGTAAGCGCATTCGTTTCCAGATGGGGGCGGAGAGAGCAGCGGGGAAAAAGCTGAAGCGCAGAGGCAAATGTGATAATACAAATATCAATACGTGATGGATATTACTATTAAATATATGAAGTCAGAAAATAAAGTGCACTAACCCTCTGAGGCCATAAGCTCTCTGATCAGATCTGCGCCTATTACTTCTATAAAATGCGTGAAGACATACTTAGTTTATACATTCTTATAAAGTCAAATACACTTACATAACAATGTAAAGAATATAAACACACTTTTTTTATACAAAGAAATACATCAAGGAACCCACCTTTGGTTGGGTTTATTAGGTCCCGCAGTTCTTTTGATAAATCTTGCACTGAATAAAAGATGTTAAAGGACATTAATGTGAACTGAAAGAAACATGCATGAATGATTTCTTTTTGTCCAAGAAATAATCGATAATCATCACAGAGAAAGAAACCGCAGAACCAGCAACCACTTTGATGTATAAAAAGATAAATGGTTTTTATCTGTCCAAAAAAGGATGAGTTTTGCTGCTGCATTATCAGATAACTTCAGATAAGGAGAACGATACCAAAAGCCTCAACTCTTAGTGTACCAGCAGTAGGTTGGTCCAGTCTTAGCCTGATGATTGTTATGAATAAATAAAGTCCTTAACTTCATATTAAATGCACTTTAAAACATTTGATTGAAGAGCTATCTGGCAGAGTTCAAGCATAAACGTCATTTAAAGTTTCCATTTTTACAAAAAACGCACTACAGAAATTGTTTTGTAGATTTTTTTCAGCACTCTAATACACACTTTGAGAAACTGATGGTGATTTTCAAAATGTTATAACATTATATAAAACAAACCACTAAACAAGTAAATAATCGGAAGATAAATCGATACGGATAAAAACGTGATACAGCATTGGAAATTGTACCAAATAAAATACTCACATTGAGATGCACCAGTTCGGTTTGGCTGAGTGTTTAAACATGACGATGACATAAGGTGTCGGATCTTCTCTGTGGCTGCCCTGCTTAATTTGTTATTAGCTGAAGCCTGACGCGGTTTGATACTGCTTCCTGTATCGCCTGACGTGGACATTACTGATGTTGCTCTCTGTAAAACTTCTTCAGGCGGCGGGACTGGCAGTACGACAGGAGCAGAGCTGACAGAGAGTTTGTTGAGAAGTAGGACTTCTATCGGCCCATTGATGCTCTTCAGATGAATCTGGTACTTTGCTGGGCTGTTCTGGACCTGAAGAATGAAAAGTAGGCAAATACCCAATTGTTCCATGTACATTTAAGAAAGCCAAAGAGAAGAATCTACAGAAGGATCCAGTAATGCAGCACTTACAGCTTTGGGAATGGGAACATCTAGCTGTGTTCCTATTGGTGCTCGTACTGCCAAAAGAGTATTACCTGAGGACAGAAGAGGGTGAACATCCTTTCAAATGACAATCATTTTGTCTGGTCTTTATATATTAAAAATAAAAATAAATTTAAGTGGGCCTTATTCGTCTTAAACTGCAACAATATAAGCTGTTGTGGCAATGCATTTTGGACAGTGTTTGTCCAGCCGTTTTAATATCAGTCCAACTAGTAAATACACTAAATTGCAAAAACATCAACTAATTTTGAGCTGCAACATTCCCTGATAAAAAATATTGCTCTTTTACTGTTTTAGTTTTTATCCTGGATTAATCTAGGACAGTGTTTCTCAAACTTTTTCATACCAAGGACCACTTAACCAATAAAAAAAACACTCCCGGTCCACCTAACTCCACAAATATCCAAAAACACATCGTTTTTCTAGAACAGATTACAAATCGCCTGAAAATGGTATATCATGCAATCAAAGGTGAAACTTAAGCTCGCTCCAGTGCGGAGATATTCCCGCAAGAGTGCAGAAAACTTAAAATTTATTTATTTATTTAAAATGTGAAATTTTACCAATATATTCACGGACCACTAGGGGGCGCTCACGGACCACCAGTTTGAGAAGCACTGATCTAGGACTATCCAAAATGTCCTCAAAAGTCACCAATGTTAACATGTTTAAGTGGATATTTACATTTAGAAGGTTTGAATATACTTGTAACGTTTCATCTCTTAAGGGTTCACACAGATGGATCTATCAGTGAAACGCAGATAGAGAGGAAGAAATGTGCCGCAGATATATTGTTCAAAAAGTAGGACATGGACTGCCCTTTTGCTTGGCTTATTGATGGAATAAAAATTTGCATACAAAAAAAGTACCTGTAACTTACCACTGAAGCAGTTGCAGAGATCTTCATGATTCACATAGGTCAAAGTTGATTTGAGTCAAGGTTTAAATTAAAATACAATATTATATCAGACATCTCATTTTTTGTTTAAATGTTATTGTTAAAGCAGAAGTAATCTAACATTTCCTACATGACATCAATTTACAATTTCTTTGTCAAAAGGATATTCGCTGCAGTCCTCTCTCGTGTTCCTGGCGCTCTGTTCCACCCACTGCTTCTGCTGGTCCAACATGGATTCCATCATCTCCAAATCCTCCACCTCGGACTTCAACTTGAATAGCTTGTTGCTAAACACTTCTTCATGTTGTCCTGTAATGGTACCCCTATTTGAGAAAAAAGCAAATGTTTTATTTATTGTCCCATATTTTGCCCCACACTATTTATACACAGAAGATCCAAAAGCATGCACACAATTTAGAGCTAAAGACTTACTTCCACTTCACAGTGCTCTTGGAGATTTTCACAATTAGACCAACACCCTCCAGCACATTTGTGATGTCGTAGATTCGCCTTTTTTGACCGACAGCCAGGACTCTGATAGCCTGAAAGAACACAAATAAAGCAAATTGACCCTTTGTTTGTAGATTATCTTAATGTTGTTATATTAGTTGACCTCTTGTTCTGTATACATTTGAAGAGCCTTATTTTGGAAACGACAAGTGTTTTTAAGATAGCTTTTGGAAAAAACAACTAAGCACTTTGTCTCGTTCAAAAATATATTTTGTTCCAATTTTATTTATACTACGATGTACATTTAAAAATAAATGTAATCAAACGAGTGATAATCCTGTGTTCTGATGGAGGTTGAAAGCACTTAGCTCATGTTTGAGCAATTCACTTCAAATGCTGCATTGAGGCTTAGGTTTCTTAAAAAAGCTAGATAGATAAAAAATATGTTCATTAAATTACACATTTGGTTAAAGTAGACAGAAAAACAATGAAATCTTTACAGTTACACATTTCTGACAAAGCATCACATAATATAATTGCAAAAAGGCGTGGTTACCCAGTGCACATTGTGATCAATTACAAACGTGGATGTAAGATATATTGTTTTAAGTGTTCTGTCGGTAAGACCAACTTAACAGTAATTTCATTAATTTATCAAATAATGGATGTTTGTTTGTACCGACGCTGTCCACTTACATCTCTGAGGTCCAGTTCACCGCCCTTAGCTTCTTGTAACAATTTGACAAACTTTACAGCGAGCATATGAAGGCTCCTCAGACTCCTCTTGTATGTAGGGATTATCTCTGGTGTTGCTGTCTCTACTTCGGGATCATGGTCTGGACTTGGTGGGCTTCCCTGAAGATCCATTTTGCTGAACGGGAGAGAAAAACAAATCAAAAACAACAATCACAAATCAGCCCACTTCACACAACTGGATACTATTTTGGGATCGAAATTAAATCTTGTCAGGGTTTCCTGTATGAGCAATAATGTGCAGTTATATAAGGATTCAACTTAATTATTTGCAAAACATTTGGTGAAGAAAAACCCTTTTCGTATTCACTTTCAACACGGTTCATTTCTCTCTGGCGCAGATTTATTATGAAAGGGTTTCACAGGAGACACTAAATTACGGTTTGTTTACCTTTTTTTACTGTAAACCCTAGGTTTTTAATTTGTTGTATAACTAATTAAGTTCTTCGAAGAAGCGCTAACACCTGCATTCAAACATATATTATAGTCTCTACATGATATCAGCGCTTATCTTGAAAGTTAGGATAGTTAAACAGTTTTACCTGGGCTGTTTCTGGATCAGCGGTAACGGGGGTCCACAGAGCTGCTGCTGCTGCCGACGCTACTGGGCTAACGTGTGGAGGACGACAACCGATGGTCATTAACTTAAGATTCAAATTTACCAGGGAGGTACAGTTACCCTCTGTTTAAATCCAATCTGAAGCCAATGTAAATGATAATGTCCGACCTTTACTGATAGTGAACCCCGACAAACCCACTGTTGTGGAGTTGGGCGCGTATTTTTCCCGGTACTAGCAGAGGGGGCGGAGGGATATATACCTGGCGTGCCTTCACAATAAAAGCCCCAATGTTCGCTTGACCAAAATGAAATGAAATTGTATTTATATAAATATTTAAATCAGATCCGATAATGAGACTTTTTTCTATTTATGTAACCTTTTTTAGATTTAGATTAAACAATGTTGTTGTTGTGTGTTCACTGTTGTTGATGGATTGAGGGGAGTAGGCTTCTAGGGTTTAAAACAAATCTAACCCAGCCTATCTTTTTTTGTTTTTCTGCTGCTTTATTGTATTGTGTAAAGAAATACAATCTAAGAATCTACACCATACTGTACATAACTTCATTTTCTAATTGAATCAAGCTACTTTCACAATTGCAGATGTTACCAAAACCAGGCATTTAATGAAAAAAATATATTTTTTTAATCAAAAACACTCAATATATACACCATATATATACATGTATAGGTGCTCATACTGTACATAATCATACAGTCCACGTATATCCATTCAGTATTTATTAATTTGGGCAATTTTTATAGTTCGCAAAAGTTACAGAAATAACAGTAATTCAATAAATAAAAAACCGCTTTATCTTAATAGGTCCAAACCAATCATGTATTTAATAAATCATAACAAGGTAAATATCAAACATAAGCACAGATATGTCAAAAGTGTGAATATTAATTTGATATAAAATGTCAAAGTTGTTCTGGGAGGTCCAATGCACGTCTGCAAAAGATGCTTAACATAGCTTTTTGCACACATGCCTTAATAACAATCTGATGAGATAACTCGATAAACCTGCTTCACAAAACACACCTTCTCTTGTGTTGTTGATTACTTCCGCGTAGAGTCAGGCGCTGATCACGTGACGCACTGGAGCAGTCATATGACGTTCCGGTTTGTTCTGTAACTTCACACAGAGCAGCAGCTGATGAAGACGGTGGAGGAAGTCACTGCTACAAAGAAACTCGTCTTTTTTGTTTAGTTTTGTGTTAGAAGTGAGTGGTGTTCAGTTATGTCGTCCTGCGGTTTGTTGGTGTGTTTGCTGGCCGTGTTTCAGCTCGGCTCCCGGGCTCAGTACCCTCCCGATGAGGTGACCCATCTGCCGGGAATGAAGTTCAAACCCAAGTATCTCCAGTGGTCGGGGTACCTCCAGGCACGACCCGGCGTGTTTCTGCATTATTGGTGAGAAACAGCAGGCTAGAAGACCCTGCTCCTCCTCGGTTTAGCAGCATGTGTGATGGTATGTGACCTTTCAGTGTGTTAAATGTGCAGTTTTTAAGCTTTTCCTGCTGGTCCTCTGCAGGTTTGTGACTTCTCAGAGGGACCCCGTCAAAGACCCCCTGGTGCTCTGGCTGAATGGAGGCCCAGGCTGCAGCTCACTGGACGGATTCCTGTCAGAGAATGGACCCTTTCATGTGAGCATGCCAACTATATGCACAAATCTACATGTATATTGGATAAACTATCGATCTTGGGTACATGTTTCTTACAAAAGGCAGACATTTATATTTGGCTTGTATGTGTAAAAGCAATGATAAATCAGGAACCATTAGACACATTTCCCCAAAAAACTCAAGTACTTTTAAAAAAAAAAAAAAAAAAAAAGCAGTACCAGGTACTTTTATGGTGAGTGCAACTTCCAGGTTAAAAAGAGGATCCTTACCGTTTATGACTACAGCTAAGTGTTTTTCTTTTCACAGCAGACTCTGTACCTAATATGCCCTAAAGGCAGAAGCTGAGAGTTGGGCTTACTAATATGGAGAATATTGCTCAAAGATGGCTAAATATTTGATAGAAGATATTGAAGGGTTGATTACTAGCCTTTTTCACAAACTATTGCTCAATGAGGTTCTGATCATCAGCATTGTGGAGATGATGAACAGATAAGACTATGTTAACTTCAGAAAATGACATAAATTAACTGTAATGCAGCCAAACCAGGCTGATAGCGGGAATTTAAGGGATAGCTATTCTTAAAAGTTTTACCAGTTAAGCGAAGTGGCATATTGACATTTTTGACTTCCCTTCAGGTCCATGATAATGGAGCCACGCTGTATGAGAACCCATCCAGCTGGAACAAGATTGCCAATTTGCTGTACATTGAGTCTCCTGCAGGAGTGGGATATTCCTACTCTGATGACAAGAAGTATGCAACTGATGATGATCAGGTGAGTTCAGTGACTGACTGGCATATCTTAAAAACTGAAGGGAATCTTTGAAACGGCCTTTACTAATTATTTTTAATTTGTTGATTTTCTAGGTCTCTGATGATAATTACAGAGCCTTGCAGAGTTTCTTCTCCAAGTTTCCCAATTTCACTAAAAATGAGTTCTTCATCTTTGGGGAGAGTTACGGTGGCATTTATGCACCGACTCTTAGCCTGCGTGTGGCTACTGGAGCGGCCAAGATCAACTTCAAGGTGAGATGCTTCATGCTAACGACCACTGCTAGTAAGACATGTATATTAATTGAAGTGTGTGTATATACATTTCCTTTTTAAAAGGTAACTCCTTTCTCTTAGTTTGTTGTTTTGTTTTACCTTGTCACATTGCTATGCTTTACTCTAGGTATAAATCCAAGTACTTTTGTCATCACTGATATAAATGTTTCTTAAGCATCTGATGTTTTGCTTAGCAGGAATATCAACCACCAAAATGCAATTTCATGAACGTAGAGATTTTTATTTTGTGATATTCTGAAAAATAATTTTGCAGTGAAACATGTTTGTAATTTAAAATACATTTCTATCTCATATTTTGGCTCTCAGGGCTTTTCAGTGGGAAATGGTCTCAGCAGCTTTGCTCTAAATGACCAATCTTTGATCTACTTCGGTTACTACCACGGCCTCTTTGGAGAAGAGTAAGTGACACTAGAAAAAGTAATGCCCTCTGAAACTGCTTTGTGTGTTCCCCTGTATAATCCAGCGACAATACACACGACATGCTGAACCTACCTTTTTTGGAATGACGCTAACTCTTTGGACAAACATGAGGTTTTAAAACAGAACTGAAAGAAGTCCTTTTCAAGTTGGATTAAACATGTGACTTGTCTAGTAAAAATTACATTTTATATCAATTGTATTACATTTTGACATCAATTTCAGTAGTTTTAATGGCTATATCTTTTTTAAATAATATGATTGGGGAACTCAAGCTACCAACAGAGGGAACTTGTCACCTGCCTTTTGTCACTTTGTCTTCCACTTTTTTTAAAAAAAAATTATTGCAAAATAGCACCACCTGCTGGGATGTCAAGTTTGTTTAACATCTCTGGCTCTATAGCAGAAGAGTTGAAATAACGACCACATTTATTTAATTTCAGTTTACAATATTTTGTTCTGCTTTTTAGTGTATGCCTTTAGTCTGAGGAGAAGCTTTTTTCGTTCCTAAGGAGGAACAGTATTTAAATTTCACTTCAAAGTAGTTATCTTTTAATAAACCATAACTATTTACTTGTGTTTTCTGCCTGAGAAATCAGTAACTTGTATTGGACATTTTTCACCATTGTCTGTGGTTAAACTTTAGCAATTAACTTTGTGTTTTTTCTGTTACTGATATTCGGCGCACATCATTCCACTGTTTAAAAAGTTTTGAATTCATCATGTGGTTGATTTCATAAAGCTGTGTTTTATGTGCAGTTTGTGGCGTGCTCTGAACATAAATTGCTGTGACAAGGGGAACTGTGACTTCCACAACTCCAGTTCAGAGACCTGCAAGACAATGGTACTTGTTCACATCTCTAACTATTAAGATGGGTATTTCTTGTGCTACTAAATGACTCATTAAGATTGACATTTTCCATGTTTCCTTTAAGGTGAATGTGGCCTTTGGAATTGTGTATGGTAGTGGGCTTAATGAGTACGGCCTGTACTTGGATTGTGAGGGTGGCGGGAGATCCCTCAGAAGCTACGATAGGACCATGAGTCAGCTGTTTAAGAACATCAGGAAACGCCCACAAACCCATAAGGTGAGAGCTTCCCACCCATATACCTGTCCTTCAAATAATTTGTTTTCTTTTTAGTAGTAATAATACAAAATATATTCTTAACAAAGTTTTCAGATGGAGTGTCGTCCATCATGTCTCTGGGTGTAGTCCCTCCCTGCATCAACAGCACGGCTCAGATGAACTGGCTGAACAGAGGCGACGTGAGGAAAGCTTTACACATCCCAGACACCCTGCCACGCTGGGATATCTGCAGGTAGCTGAATGAAAGGGATATGGCCTTGTTTTTCTTTTTTTAAGGTCACCTATTATGCAAAATCTACTTTTTCATGTCTTTTTATATGTGTCCCCTCCGTGTAAAGACATTCTGAAAGTCTCAGGACAAAATATTCACTCTTTTTAAAAAAAAAAAAACCAACCATGGTATATATCTGAGACTTATAATAGGGGACCTTTAAAACATGTGTATTCTACAAATGTTTTGCTTTGTCTGAAACTATTTGGAGATGTAGTTTAAAACATTTTTTTTACAAGCCAAGTTGCTTTTTAGAAACTGTTGTTCACTCGTGTATAATTATTGGGAATTTGCTTTTTTACTACGCTGTCCTTTCTGCGTGGGGTTTGGTACAATGTCACCTACCCATTGATGCTCATCTCAATGATCACTTTTCATTGCAGTGATGAGGTGGGAGAGCAGTACATCACCCTGTACCAAACAGTGAAGTACGTCTATGTGAAGCTGCTGTCTCTGGGCCTGCGGGCTCTCGTTTACAACGGCGACACCGACATGGCCTGCAACTTCCTGGGAGACCAGTGGTTTGTGGAAGACCTCGGTCTGAAGGTAGGAACTATCAAAGGGAACTGCGTAAAGCTTGCAAGAGTAACTTCAGTACGAACAGAAAAAAGTTGCAAATTAAAATGCAATTTAATAATAAATACTAATTGCTATCCTCAGGCAACCACAGAGTACAAGATGTGGCATCATGATAATCAGGTGGCCGGTTTCTACCAACAGTACGGAAACATCACTTTCCTGACAGTCAAGGTAACCGCAGTGTTTTAGTTTGTGCCCTAGAAGCATGTTTGTCCTGCTTCACATTGGAGATGGTTGCATTATGGCTGACATACTGCTGTTCTGTGTTTCAGGGTGCAGGTCACATGGTTCCTCAGTGGGCTCCAGGGCCAGCTTTCCACATGTTCCAGTCCTTCATAACAAATGGCCCCTACTGAGCCCTGATTGAGGCTGTGTAGTGTACCTGCACTCATCACTTCGGATGGCACATTATTCTCAGGGAAGATGATTATAAAAAGGGAAAATTACTTTAATGGCAATTATTCATATCTAATTTGTTCGTGGATGACTTGCAGTAAGTATTTGAAGAGGGACAATGTTTGTTTGGACTTGAAATTAAAATGTTGGCTTTACTTCTGGCTCGGGAATTTGTGCCTTATTTTTTTTTCAGCAAGTATTGCAGCTGCTCATCGGCCTGTTGACAAAATGTAGTTTAGTCTTTAACGCAACAAGCCAACCAATGAGTTTAGTTATTGTTCTTCATGGTGTTGGGGTACTACATGTACCTATAACGAGGTATAGGGCTGCTAGAAAGTCAGAACATTGAGCAAAAATTACTAAACGGAAATAGTCCGTTTCAAAATATTTATGACTGCACTTAAAGGTGGGGTAAGTAATTTTGGAGAAACCAGCTCGAGTGCACTAGAATTTGAAAATACACAGCTGGAAAAAATCTGCCACTTCCTTACAGAGCCCCTCCAACACACGCGCACATGTGCAATGAGGGCACGAGATAAGTTTGTGCACAGATGGAAGGCTGACAGGCAGGTAGGCCATCCAGTTATTTTAGCCGAGCCGGCTAAAATGATCGGCCGTGCTTTTTACAGTACCACGGCTTCCACATATGACTTTTTTTCTTTTTTTTTTGTCCAAGCACTCAAAACATATTCATTGTAAAGCGGGTACTTTATCCTCTGGAAATAAAAACAATGCTCCAATTGTTTGATCTAAACTGACTTCACTTGTCTGTTTATTACATGTTTTGAACTGCCAGTGGTTTGTATTGTCAGCTTTATTCACATACCCTGACTGTTTTAATTGGGATATCACAGGTAGCTCTGTTCAGTATACCCATTGAAACATTAACTTAACTTTGTTTGCGTCAATTCTCTGTATGGGAAAACATTCGACTTGATTTCTGAACTAAATGACTTGGAAGGGGGAAAAAAACGACATCCATGTTAACACAGTAAATCAGTAACAGAAATCGTAAATGCACCTGACAGAGTAAAAACTAGTTCCAAATGATTGGAGAAACGTGTTGATACTCAACACCAAATCATAAAAACAATTAAAATCCCAGCAATAACTAGACATTCAAGTTCTCCTACTGGTGGCAGGCATTGTTTTAACTAGTTTCCTTACCTTCATTAGTGTGTACATAGTAAATGTAGTTAGTTGACACCATTGACAACAAAATGATCCGTTAATGTAACTGTCCCTTGTTTTCCACAAACAGTATGGCTGGGTTTCATAAAAAGTACAAACTGAAAGTTTTCAAATCTCAGTTGTATTATAGCATTAACATACCCAAAATGACCAGCAGTTTAAATAACTGTTCTCGATTGTTTAACAAATATCATATTGTCAAGTCTTGAACATTTGGTCAAAAGAAAGTGCACACATTGGTTTGAGGTTAAAAACAGCTTGGTCTTCAGCATGAACAGATTCAAGTAAATTATCAGTGGGCCGGAGTCACTTTTTATGTAAATACTAATAGTGTACAAATTGAGTTCTGAGTATCATTTTGTTTGCATACAGAAAGAGTTTGGTATTCATCGCATGACTGTTTAAGACCTGCTGACTCTCAAATGTTACTTTTACAAACATTGTTTCACCTCAAAGCCAATTATAAAATCATTAGTAATTCTAATATAAGAAACAACTCATGCTTTCCTAAATGTAGTATTTTTCAACTCATTTAGAGTTATTGAATGTTTACACAAAGATTTGAAAAGAGCTGGCCTGCAGTTTTCAAACTACTCATTAATGTTTGTGTAATTTCGTCTGCAAATAGCAGCAGCACTAAAGTGTGGAACTGTATTTGATCTGAGAACCACAACATGTCAATTTTGATAAGAAACATGAAGACATGCAAGTTAAAATACATAAATTGGTACAATTTCATTATTAAAATCAATTTGATTGTAAGACCCCTTTAAAGTCCCTCAGCTCTTGTATACAGGGAGCCACTAAACCGCCACAAAACGGTTTCCAACCATCATAAAAACATAAAACATGCACTTTAAAGTCATTTGGCATTGCAGGATGTCTCCGAGTACTGCCTGAGTAAAGGTCTGTGGGGCTTTTACTCAGTATGGAGCAGAGATGTGAAATGCCAGAGGAATTTTTTGCAAATGAGTGTCATGAGATGCTTCTCCATCCTAATTCAGAAAGCAGCACAGGACTGAGGCCCCTCTGTCTTTGACACAGCTGGCTCAATAAAACTGCTCCTCTTAGCTGATGACGTCCTGGTAGATGGAGTTTGTCGTTGTGAGGCCGAAGATGAAGGTTCCAATCGTAACCATTATAATGCCGAAGACCACCATTCCATGCCAGCTGTAACAAGAAAGACCGACATTTAAGAAAAGTCCTCATTGGAAATAATTTCACTTACATTCTGAAGGAAGTACTCAGCTAATATATGGGCTCAGAACAGTCTCATAATACGCACATGCACACAGAAGGATTCACACTTGTGTTTTTCAATGCACACAAATGTGTTCCGTTTCATATACATATACAGAAAAAGGTTTTACCTACAGTGGGGCAAAAAAGTATGATTTTTAAAGAATTTATTTGCAAATTATGGTGTAAAATAAGTATTTGTTCACCTACAAACAAAAAAGATTTCTGGCTCTCACAGAACTGTAACTTCTTTAAGAGCCTCCTCTGTCCTCCACTTGTTAACTGTATTAATGGCACCTGTTTGAACTCGTTATCAGTATAAAAGACAACAGTCACACTCCAAACTCCACTATGGCCAAGACCAAAGAGCTGTCAAAGGACACCAGAAACAAAATTGTAGACCTGCACCAGGCTGGGAAGACTGAATCTGCAATAGGTAAGCAGCTTGGTGTGAAGAAATCAACTGTGGGAGCAATTATTAGAAAATGGAAGACATACAAGACCACTGATAATCTCCCTCGATCTGGGGCTCCACGCAAGATCTCCCCCCGTGGGGTCAAAATGATCACAAGAACGGTGAGCAAAAATCCCAGAACCACACGGGGGAACCTAGTCAATGACCTGCAGAGAGCTGGGACCAAAGTAACAAAGGCTACCATCAGTAACACACTACGCCGCCAGGGACTCAAATCCTGCAGTGCCAGACGTGTCCCCCTGCTTAAGCCAGTACATGTCCAGGCCGTCTGAAGTTTGAGAGAGCATTTAGATGATCCAGAAGAGGATTGGGAGAATGTCATATGGTCAGATGAAACCAAAATAGAACTTTTTGGTAAAAACTCAACTAGACATGTTTGGAGGAGAAAGAATGCTGAGTTGCATCCAAAGAACACCATACCTACTGTGAAACATGGGGGGTGGAAACATCATGCTTTGGGGGCTGTTTTTCTGCAAAGGGACCAGGACGACTGATCCGTGTAAAGGATGAATGAATGGGGACATGTATCGTGAGATTTTGAGTGACAACCTCCTTCCATCAGCAAGGGCATTGAAGATGAAACTTGGCTGGGTCTTTCAGCATGAAAAATGATCCCCAAACACACCGCCCGGG